AAAACTTTCAATGGAAAAAATAACACAAAAAGGGGCAAAGAAAGTCAAACTAAAAATATACTTATGACACGTATGATAGACAGAAAGTTAATTTCCATTATATCCGAATAGGTCTTAAATATAAATAAAAAATACACCAACAGCAAGAGAAAAATGGGAAAAGATCATCTAGAACAAACTCACAAAGAGCAATAAATACATAAAGGACGTTACAACATTCTCATAATAAAACAAATGCAAATTAAAATGAAACCATATCATTCTTCATCAGTCATATTCGCAAAGATTTAAAATTTTGATAGGGCCAGCCCATGGATCACTTGGGAGAGTGTACCACCAAGGCCATGGGTTCAGATTCTATATAGGGATGGCTGGTTGGCTCACTTGGGAGAGGGTAGTGCTGACAACAAGTCAAGGGTTAGGATCCCCTCACTGGTCATCTTTTAAATAAATAAATAAAAATATATAAAATTTTGATAAAATTCAGGGCTGTCAAGGGAATATAAACTGGTGAATTTTCAGGGGATAAAATCTATTAAATGTAAACTCTGTACTTGCTCTGAGACAGATTTTAATTTCCAGATATTTATACTACTGATACATTTGCTTAAGTGCTCAGAAATAAAAGTATGTTCCCTGAATCATTCTTTGTAAAAGCAAAACATTGAACACATCCTAAATGTCTTAAATAAATTTCTTAAATAAATTGTGATACACCCATTTGAATATTATTCAGTCACTGAAAAGAATAAATTAGAGATATGAGAGTACTTCAAAATTTCATGGAAAAGTAGAACTAAAACATAATATGAATCTTCCCACGAACTTTCTGAAGCACCCTCGTATATGTACCACCAACATGGAAAGTTACCCAAGATAGACTGTTAAACATAAAATCAAATTAAAGAACATCATAAAGAACATCATATTAGATCTCACTGTTTGGTGAAGACATATATTGGTATATACATATAAAATTTTGAAAGTACTTATAATAATCTGTGAAGAGGGTATACTGTATTTTCTAAAATCTTTACCATGAATTTGCATTACTTTTATAATGAAAGTATTAGTTAAAAGAAATAAGTTTCACAGTATAAAATTTACAACTTTCTTACAAGAATTCAATAATGTAAAGCCAGTAATGCCTTTATGTACTCCTACCTGAATTGCATAAGCAGCTGAATCTTGAGCTCTGCTGTTATCTGCATACGCCAAGTAAGCTCTTGTTAACTCCATCAATAATCCATAGGCAAAGTTTGAATCTTCTACTCCAGTCTCAATTAAAAAAAAAAATTTAAAGATAATTGGTATAAATTTTCTTAAGGTGTACTATGCCTTCCATGGTGAATTTAACTTAGTTGCCTAAGTGAATTTAACTTAGAAAAGGAAAAGGACAATGATGTTCAAGCCAACTTTGGTACAAAGTTTAAAATATAAGCTGTACCAAAGAAATTTGTACAAGCAAAATCTAAAGCTTTTTAGGCTATTTCTAAAGTGTAATAGAATCGTTCAATTTGCATAGCTCTGACAATCTGCATTGTTTGTTTTGAACTCTTAAAAAGCAAATTGTCTACACAACATTTCCTAGGCTGCATTCTGTAGAGCCCAAGAGTCACCTTAGAAACTCTAAGAAATAATTTTAATATACCCTCCTCTTAGAAATTCACAATGCACACTGATACTTAAAAGTTCTGTTTAGTTTTGTTTTACAGGATTTCCCAAACTCATTTTATTACAAAACTTTTCTATACACACACTATTAGAATAACTTGGGAAACTAGTTTCCCATGGAAACGCTAGCAATAGTGTTTAAACAGTAATATTTAAATAATTAATTAGGCTTTAGGTATTGTCACAATTTGATCAGGAAGCTTTATATTTAAGAACACAACACACTAGATTGAGCTAAACTTTATTGCTTTTGGCTAAAGGAAGGTTTCCACAACAGTATAAAGAAATAAACTCTCGTCACAATTTGATCAGGAAGCTTTATATTTAAGAACACAACACACTAGATTGGGCTAAACTTTATTGCTTTTGGCTAAAGGAAGGTTTCCACAACAGTATAAAGAAATAAACTCTGAAATTACCTAAATTATCTGGCTGAGATCAAGTTGTCACTAAGGATGACCTGAATAGTTCTTCATAAATGGAATATATAAAGCTCAACAGAACGGAGAACTCTTCTCATCATTACAAATTACCATTACTTACCACAAATGTAAAATCTTTTCCTTGGGTTTCAGTCGTTGAGAAATCTAATCGACCTGGATCTATTGCCCCCAACTCCCCTAAACATTCCCCACAGAGCAAACGAGCTTGAGAGTTTGCATCCTGGCAACCTTTCAATAGCACTGTCACCAATTGGGAGATAACAGGTTCCACTGTTTCACTATCTGTTGCATATTTTATCAGTTTTTCCTAAAACAAAAATAAAAAAATTTATACATAACTTCTACAAACTGATATATTTTCCTAAACTAGACACCTTAAAAATATTAATAAATATGTAACATAAAAATTGACAAAATTATATTTTTATATCTGCAATCTTTTTAACTAGTTTTTTTAATGAATTCACATAATATAGTTCACAGTATGTTCTGTAGAATTAGAATCTTTAAGTGTGTTGAAAGTCTTAATTATTAATCCATTAAACAAACAGTTACATCAGTATGCCAAAATTTTTAAGACATAGTCTTATTCCAATGTGTTCGCAGTCTAACGGGAAAACAAACAGAGAAATAACTAAAATATCATATTATATGTCCAATAACAAATATACTTACAGGGTAAAGAAACAACGAGATGGAAAGGAACAGAGTAACTTTTCAAGGATGGTGGACTGACATTTCAGTAGAGAAGATATGTCCAATAACAAATATACTTACAGGGTAAAGAAACGAGATGGAAAGGAACAGAGTAACTTTTCAAGGATGGTGGACTGACATTTCAGTAGAGAAGTCCAAAAGGAACAACAATTAGTTAAAACAAGAATGAAAAAGGTATAAAAACTAGTAGAGAAGGAGAAAAAGATACTAAAAAACAGTGTTCTGTGGGGATAGAAAAAAGAGAGGTAGGGGAAAAGAGGTAGACTTGAAAAATACGTTGGTTCAAGCAATCTTTTTTCATCTACCTCCTGAGGATGCTATAAGAATAAAAACTATTCTCAAACAAGTAACGATTTAGATATTGTACTTATGTGATCACTTTAGAACTACTTCTTTTACATTATTTTCTTTCTAGCAAAAGTAAAGTATATAAGAGCACCTTAAACCACGTTGTAACTATGACTCAAATTAGAGTAAAACAATTCAAAAAATAAATAAAAACACAATTAGTCTTATCCAGAATCTTTAACAGTCTTTTTATAAAATAACATTGCAGGCTAATTCAGGCACATACCTAAAAAATTGAACTAGTAATTATTAAAAAGTAAAACTCATACAAAAAATCATGAACATTTCTTCACTTGCTAAAAATAGAAAGTAAGTAAAAGGACACTTTAGCTGGCAAAGATAAATAAAGTTCATACACGTTAAAGGCAATACATATTCTAAAACACAAAACAAATGGGGAATTTAAAAATATACTTATCTTCTAAGTGCTCAAAAATATTTTCACTTTATTTCACTTCTAGGTTAAAGTGAATTTTATTTTTCAGCAAAAAATATTGAATTGCAAAAGAATTTTTAAAATGAGTATGTTCAATGCACCTATTTACATAGGCTTTTAACATAAGAATCTAATTTTATCTTTTTCCAAATGATTAACCAGTTGACAGAGGAAAAAAAAAATCAAGTTTGCCCCAATTATTTGAAATGTCACTTTTATCATATACTAAATGTTCATATATGTGCTTGGGTCTATTTCTGGACCTCCTATTCTTTCCCCCTGGCCTGTCTGTTTATTCATGTGCCAGTATCTCTTTGTTATAATAATAGAGGCTACAGAGTATATTACTTTCTGGTAGGACTATTATACTCTCATAAATGTTTCATTTTATTTTTTTCATTTTCCTAGCTATTTTACATGTTTTTTTCCATATGAACTTTAGTATTACTAACTTGCTAGTTAAAAAAAAAACTATTTGGCATTTTTTTGGATTGCATTAAATTTATATGTTAACCTAGGGAGAAATGAAATCTTTATAATAGATCTAGGGAGAAAAATTATATCATTATTTCCATAGATGCTGAAATAGCCTTTGACAACTTTTATCAGTGTTCAGCTACATATAAACTGGCCCTAGTTTCCATTTATCTTATGTTACCATAACCATAATATTGAGTCGGCCTACCCAATACTAAAAGATGCTTTTCCATTTCTTTAAATCCATTACACTTTTGAGTCTTTCAAAAGTTTTCCTCTCATTGGTTATACATTTCCTGTTAAACTTATTCCCAACTACATTAACTTTCCCTGTTGTGGGCCGGCCCGGTGGCGCACTGCTACAGTGCGCCGCTTGGGAGTGCGGCAGCACTCCCGCC